GGGGGCGGGGCTTCTATTGGCCTCGATTTCTCCCAGAGTAAAAAGAGGGGACTAATAATTTGTGATTCTGCTGAGCCAGTTTCTTCCTCTTTCTGATCCCAGTTTCCCTTCCCTCAACCTGTACTGCATTCTGCAATTTGATGGGTAAGGCCTGGCCTGCTCTGGATCTCTTGTAAATCAGTGGGCTGGACTAGGGCAGTCCCCCTACCTAAGGTCTGAGAGGTTCAGAAATCCTGCCCAAGGTGGAGAGAGATGGTCTCCAAGGATGGTTATTGCAGTGGCCAGCTGCTTGGCCTCTGTGAGCCCTCCTGCCCACCCTGGGAGGGATGCCCCTCTCCTGGGGCAGCCTGGCCTACCTGTGGAGCACTTAGCCTCCTGGAGCTCCTGGGAGGGGAGGCGAGGCTCATCAGAAGAAATGGGGTTTCCCTGCCTAGCTTATCCCCCAGGTCGCTGCTGAGCCCGGCATCTGGGTGGGCAGGAAACCCATGGCAACTGGGGCGGCGGCAGCAGCAGCAGCAGCAGCCTCTGACTTGCTTCTTCCATGGGATATCAGGTTTAATGGTTAACCAATGGGACAGGTACAATTGATTGCTCTGGGCTAGGCTAGTTAATTATGCTGACTTTGGGCCTTTACCTTGCCTCCCTTCTCCTCCTCAAATGTGAACCTTTGTATTGAGATACCAGGCAGGCACGTTTGTAGGAGGTTCTTGTCGGTGAGTTTTTCTTTTAAATATCTGAGGTTTCTGAAAGCATCTTGAAATGTGGCTGGTGGAGGTGGCCAACTCGTAGGGTCAGACAATGACCTTTTAGGGTGGAAAGTGATTGGCTGGATCCATAAACATCTGTCAGAGGCAAGGCAGGATCTGGGGGCTGTCTCCCACTGGGCCTTTGAAAAGTTGGTTCTTGTGTTCGTTAGTACCTCTTTGAGCCAAGTCTAAGGCAGCTATACTCTAGATGGGTATTGGCATGTGGAGCCTTTCGAAATAAATATTCGCAAGTTCCCTTCGACGGAATAATCAATCATCTGCTATTTGCAACCCTTTGTTTTAAGTACTGGAAATATACAAATAAAAAAATACATTACAGCATAGTTGATTAATATTCAGTGGCCCAGAGTATAAAATTAAATCATTTAGCTCTTGGTCAGTTATAGGAAGGCTCAGGTAGCTACATTCCAATTAATAGAACATAAATGGGGTTCTCTCTTTTCCAAATAGTGTTGTCCTTACGGTTTTAAATTTTATAAAATTGGTTTTTAAAGAGTCCAGTTTATCATTTTTAAAATCAATAATTGGGTGCTAAAAATGAGAAAGTACCTTTATGCCCCAGATTGTGTGCACCAAATCTGCAGGATTATTTATGGGTCTCTTGTGACTTATGCTTTGCCCTCACAACTTTCACTAAAAAGCCATGATAAAAATATAGCCTTGTCTCATGCGCCTAGATCTATCTGCTATTTGTAGGGAAGCTGTGGCCACACATTTTTAAATTGGGGGAATGGATTTTTTATTTAATTGAGGCCAATTTGTCAGTCAGTTATCAGTGTTAGAACTAACCTGTCCAGCTAGAATCCCAAGTAGGGGTTAACCAAATCAATTGCCTGAACCCTTAACCTTTCCTACACTGCTCTGGGCAGTTTTCATTATCATACATTGAAAATGTGCGTGTCCATCCTGGTTAATTTGGGCAGATGAGTGAAAAAAGCACACGAGTTCTCAGCGTTTTTTATCATTAGTCTCTAACATATAAATGTATAAAGTTCTGGACGGTTATGACAAGGCTTCCTTTGGCTGCGGAAGCACTGGGGCTACTCTCCTTGCATTCCAGGAGGTGGTGGTTTGATTTAGGAGACTTTGTTTTCTTTAGTGAAAATTACTAATTTTCCTTCCCTTCTGTAGGAGATGACAAGGATAGTGAGAAGTCGAAACCCACTGGTTCTGATGGAGAGCGTCGTGGGGTCAAAAGACAGCGAGATGAGAAGGAAGAACATGGCCGGGCTTACTATGAGTTTCGAGAAGAGGCTTATCACAGTCGGTAAGAGCGAGCTCCCCTTGAATTCCCTGGAATTCCTACCCTGGCTGTGATAGATGCAGCTCCTGCTAGTTCAACTAGTTGGATTTTAGGGGCTTCGTTTGAATTGGGCTCATTGGACCTCCTCCTTCCCCAGTGCCACTTTCTGCTGAGGTTTCATACTCTGACCTCGAAGCAGACTTGTTTCATTGGATGCTAGCTCATATAAAGACTGATCGGAGAGGTAGACGTGGTTGGTCCAAACTGTGTTTTTTTCTCTCACGTGTAGCTCCAAGTCTCCACCCCCCCCTGAAGAAGAGGCTGGAGATGAGGACCAGGATCCGACCCTTGTGAACCTAGACACGTGTATGTAGGAGACAGAAGAGGTGGCGGTCTCCTCTCTCCTTTTAGACGTTGATGTGTTGTGTAGGCACAAAGCTGCTCGGGAAGCTTGGTGTTGGAGGCATTAATCGCACCTGTTCCCACTGGAGCAGAAGCGGCTGTGATTGGGTGTGTTCTGACCATTAGAGGCCTGCGGTGATGACTGCCACCGGAGTGACGTCATTTCTTTCTTCCCCACAGATACCTCGGATCTCCATTTTCAAGTGAGCAAGGACCGTTACGGGGGCCAGCCGCTTTTCTCTGAGAAATTCCCCACCCTTTGGTCTGGAGCAAGGAGCACATACGGAGTGGCGAAGGGAAAAGTCTGCTTTGAGGCCAAGGTGGGGCGGCAGCTCGTGAGGCCCATTCCTCACCCCC